AACATCATTTCCTCAGTTGCTTCATGAATTTTGACCTGGAGAATACAACTTGAAAGTCAACAATAGAGAACTGTTTTAATCTCTAGATTAGGAATCTCCAAGTGAATTCACTGGCATCATCACATAAACAACAAAAGGGCAGCGGCACAGTATCACCTTGGAAGGTCATGCCTTTGGGTGATACCAGTAGTGCCTGTTTGGGGATCATTCAAATGGTGAGACCATAGCTATTTCTTGTCATGAATCGTCACATGAGAAAGCCTCAGGCCACTTGGCGAAAGTTTGCAGAGACTCAACAGCGCAGAAGAGCCACATCTGTGGCTTTGCAACTAACATGTATGAAAATCATTTCAGCAGAAAGGAAAACAGATGAGAAATCAAATTAGAAGAAGTGGAAAACTGAAATTAAGTCCTCCTAAAATTGTGAAGCCGATGCCATATTATTAACTCTAAAATAAGACAGCGGATGGACTTTTGCCTTGTAATTCTTTGCATTTTCTTTCTCCTATACAAAGAAGAAATTTTTCTTCCACATATAGAAATATAAAAACATACAGAAATACCATGCAAAGTATATACGTCATTTTGAATTTCTAGATGCCATGTTTGAAAAGTAAACAGAAGCAAGAAAAATTTGTTTATCCCAATATATCGAAAATATTCTGTTGGGCCAGTGAGATAGCTCAACAGTCTAAAGTGACTGCTTAAGCAAGGTTAGGCGGGCACCGCAGTTCGATCCCCAGCACCCCGTGCCATGCCAGCCCCGCCCCCAAGGCAGGCTGAGCCAGCCTCCCCTCCTCAAAAAATAATGTTATCAAAATGTAAGAAATATTTTTAAAATTAGTATAATTTTTACACTGTTTTCTTAGTATTTGAAGTCTGGTATATATCTTGTACTTACAGTACAGTTCGTTTCCAACCTGCCACATATCAAGTGCTAAAGTCCCTGCTAGTGGCAAGTATTTTGGATACTGCAACTACACTCCAATACAATGTATTATTCCAACAACACAGTATCTAGTTCTTAAAATCTGAGCATGTCCCTACATGGCATACTCTAAATGGTTCTTATTAAATTCTTCAAATAGCGACACAATTGACAGAGTGGTTGCTACTTCAGCTAAAACAGTGTTAATGTAAGTTTGAACATCATAACTTGAAATTTTCCAAAATTAATATGCCACTATTATTTTAAGTTTTCCAACCACCAATGAACTCACTTTAAAATTAACTTTCTCCAAAATAATATCATCTGTGATATTACAAGTTTGATTAAGTGTATATTTCTTAAAAGTGTTAACACACTTGAAATAAAATACTATTTAACAAGTAAAAGAAGTTTTTGGGTGCTGTCTAAAGCCAATAATGAAGTGAATTAAATGTGCTGTCAACAGTAAGCCCGTTATGCTATTAGCTTTTAGAAGTTTCCATTGTGCACATTCAACTGCAAATATATTACTTGCTGGAGCTCCTGACACCAGCAAGCCATCTCCACCCTTGCATGTCTGAGTGGGACTGAAGGATACACTCAGCGCGCTTGCTGTGGGCACCACCACACACTCAGCGGGCAGCGGGAGGAGCTAGGCATCTGTGTTCAGTCCAAGCTCTGCAGAGGCAACGTAAACCTCTTGCCCGGTGCCTTGTCTCTCGCTGTCTCAAACACACACACTCACACATGCACAACCAAGCACATGCGCAAGCATGAATATTGTGTAATGAAAAGATATGTAAGAATATTTTTAAATATTACAGTAGAACATGCACTGTCCTCCATTCCCCTCCAAATATGCCCCCTCACTTCCAACACACTTGCTGTGGACACACTGCTCTTGAGAATTTCTGAAGCAGTATTGTGAGTGTCTTTACAAGGTGTGGTATAACCATGGTGAACGCCACAGCCAGGTGCCGCGCAACAGAAAGGCAGGCTCACGAAAGCACCATGATGCCTTCCCATCTGTCTCATTCACCGTATCTAGGACCGTCTGACTTCTGGTTCTTCCCCAAAGTCCAAATGACCAGTAAAGGTAAACTTTTTCAATCAAACCAGGACATTGAGGCAGCCAAGGCAGCAAAACTTTAAATGTTCACTACATATTTTTATCGTGTGTGTGTGTGTGTGTGTGTGTGTGTGTGTGTGTATTCTCCACAATAACCCTATGAAATAGGAATTCTTTTAAACATTTTTTTAATTTATTTGGCACAGGGTCTTGCCATGCAGCTCAGACTCATAGTGATATCCTGTCTTAGCCTGCCCAGCACTGGGATTACAGGCGTGTGCCACCACGCCCGGTTTTGGTGGCTGGCACAGCCTTTTTTGCTTTGCTAGATGAGCAAATGAGACACAAAGTAGTCTCTAAGCTAGAAAATTATCATCTTCAACACCAAGAAATCCTACTCTGGGAGTAGAGCATAGCTCCAAGATAGAGCACTTGCCTAGCAAGCCCAAGGCCCTGGGCTTGGGCTTCCACCATAAAATCTAAAAAGAAAAAAGAGAAAAAAACCAAGCAAGCAAGCAATCTGACTCTAGAGCCTGTGCTCTGTGCTCCTATTACCCAAGGGCATTCAAATGCTATAGTGCACTAGGGGCGAGCTTCCACTCATGTGCTGCAGCCAGCTATTTGTATCACTGAAAGCTCTAAGAGGTTTTCTATCACTGCTACAGGATAAAGGAAGATTTAAAAATTTTATGTTTTACACGCACAAATACAAATCCTTCAAATTCAAAACTTTTGCTCACAGGTTGAGGCAGGATACTCTAATACAGAAAGTGGTAGAAGACAAATAGAATAATTTACAAGAGTGCCTTTAAGGGGTTGGAGAGATACCTCTGCAGGCTAAGTGCCTGCCTGGCAAGTATAAGAACCTGGGTTCAATCCCCACTACTGCCTGCTGTACCAGCCACCAAAACCCCAGGCATGGTAGCGCACACCTGTAATCCCAGCACTGGGGAGGCTGAGACAGGAGGATCACTACCAGGCTGAACTGCACAGTGAGACTGTGTATCAAATAAAGAAAGAAAGAAAGAAAAATTTAAAAGAATGCACTTGAGATGTCTTGTATAAATCACAGGGGGGAAAAAGCCTAATTTTAAAAAATTAAGATTACAGTAAAAGGACAAATAGATGGATAGAAGAACAGATAGAATGACAATAAGCATTGACTCCAGACTCAATAGTAGAGCACAAAGAGGATTACAAAGGAGGACGTGTCTCTTTGGCCATCCCAGGCCAGCCATCCCTACCACCATGGCTGACCCTGCACTAGCTGCCCACAAATGCAACCAGGGACCTCATCTCCTCACTGACACAGAGGCTGCAGGGTGATCTGTGCTGACAGTCTAGCTGTCTAGCCTGCATCTGCAAGGATTCTGAAGTCTGGAGAAAATAAGAATCTACTTACATGTACTCTCTATGGGCAGAGTGCACAGCAGCTGCGTTGCTGTAACGCCACAGGACAATCGCCGATGACAAGACGTCCAAGATGGCATCGAACTAGGAGGAGGAGAGATGGCATTAGCAGTTTTCCAAAGTTCATAGCGCATGACTATAATGATGCAGGACAACTGCGCCGTACTCCAGAGTATATGAATGAGTATCTCAGCGACAAGAGGTTTTGAATGTCTCAACACGACTGCTTATGACCCTCACAGTAGGTCCCGGGGCATGGGGCTCAGAGCACCAGAGTGCTGGCCTGGTAGCAGTGGACAGCCACTTAGTTGCATAGTCAACTCTGCTCCCCACGCTCTGGAGACGGGCCGGAAATGGAGAGCACACTCTTCTGACATATGAGGACTGGTTTTCCTGTAGTGAGTGAGATAATCTCAACACTTTTGTGCACATCAGAAGGATGAGCATTGTCTCTAGCCATCAAAAGGACTGTTCCACCTGGACTCAGGGCTAAAGGAGAGGGTCATCCAGGGCTCCAGAAAGCCTAGCACTATTATATTCTGTACCAAAGTCAAGATTTTCATTTGAAAGAGAGGGGAAGAAGGAGAAGCAGAAGTGCAAGTAACAGATAGGAGAAGGGGTGGGGAGGGCTTTCTAGAGAGGAGGGAGAAAATGTGTGTGTCTGGGTGTATGTTCGTGTGGTGTTCCTGGGTGTGTGTGTGTGTGTGTGTGTGTGTGGTCATGTGCATTTCTCTGGATAGTCCACACCCTTCATAAGATTCTGAGAAGACTGCAACACTCCCTTCTTACAATAAAGGGCAGCAACAGGTTTGGGAAGAGGCACACACAGACTCCCAGGTATGGGAAACCCTACTCTCCACAGGAGGAATGTTGCAAGAAGTTCTCTTTATCAGTCATCACACCGTATCACACTCTCATCTAGAAAATCACAAGCACAACATCGTCTTGAAGGACTGTAGGAAAGCCCCGCTTTCCTGAACAACGTCCACCTGGAAGCAGGCTGGGAGTCCAGCCACCCTCGCTGAGCTACAGACCAACTCATGCCAACACCTGCCTATACCAGTAAATGCATCACTCAGTACATGGCAGTCTTACACACACCTGAAAGGGGAAAAGGGTCTAAATCTCCTGAAACAACCTCTCAACTTCCACTTCTTGTGAAAAACATGGACTCCCCATCTTTGTTTGAGAAATACAGTCACACTGCAGTTTAACTCTATTAAATTGTAGTTTTCACAGAAGCTACTTTCCTAAAAGGCATGGCTCCCACACTAAGCCCTCATATTGTAACCACCCTCTTATTTGAGGGCTCCGGGAGAGATTCATGGGCTCAGGAAAAACGTGCAAAACTTCAGGAAAGTACATTTACTTACTGCAAACCCAAAAGCAGAGGCGCTGTACCTCATAACGGAGACAGCTAAAAAGAAAGAAAATATTATTCAGAATATTTGTAAACCTTATGGATAATTTCTCATTCGTGCATATATTAATACATTTAATATGACCTTTCAAACACCACTGAACATCTTCCAAGAGAAAAAAGTTAAAAATGTACTGTTCTTATAGAAATCTGAAATCAAAGAAAGTAGATGGTAAAAGATTTCTAAATTCCACCTGCAATGACTTCCTTTCCCATGTGCTTCCTTCTGAATCATCCAACTTCCGAATAAACCTGCTTATTAGTTGCCAGTCAAATGACTTCTGAGATTTGAGAATTTAGAAACTGGAAAAGAGTCCTGGGAACTACGTTAAACTTTCAAAGGAAGACTGCAGCTATACAAAGTCTTCTCATATAAGGTGACAAATGATGGAATCCAGTGTCCCCAGCACTATGAACATGATTGAAAAAGAAACAAATCTTTTGCCTAGAGTTTAAAACATAAAAGAGAAACCAAAATAACCTTTTAGAACACTAAATTTTCTTAACCAATAGATGTCTATAAACATACATGCCACAATTATAATTAAAACATTTTATCCATATTCACAAATTCAGAGGTACCAGTTTTGCCTAATTCTGTTCTGTGCTGAAGCAATGTCCAACTTTAAAAACTGAACTCAGTTGAACTCAATAAAGGAAGATCTGTAAGCAAAACCAAACTTAATAAGCTATATCCACCCTCCAACAAAGAAGAGAACCCTGCCTCTGAGTCAGCAAACCCTTGAGATAGCTTGCTCTAGGGCCTAGACTCTTCAAGGGTGCAAAGAGGCATGGGCATGGGGCACTGGGGTTAGCACCTATGTGGACGTCCATTCAGCTGACCACGGTGGGGAGCGATTCCCCATCCCATCCACAAAATCCAGGAACGCACCCAGAGTCATGTTGCGCTATGTGCACAAGAGGGTCATGTGGCCCAAAGTGGACCAATTTGGTCTATTGATGTGGTTAGAACTGAAACTTGCACCCTGGTTTACTACAAAGACCATGGGGCAGAAAGATAAGCGAGGAGCAGAAACCCAGAGTGCTGGACAGAGAGAACCACTGGCTTCCTAACATTCTGAGTCCTCCCTGAAACTCAGCTCCAGTCATCCCATTCATTAGGCTGTGGAAGGCGGAATATGTCCATAGTTTTTATATTGACATGAACTGCTCCGGGTGTTCCTGCTCTTTATGACCCAGGGTAGGGCAGAGCCAGCTGGGCATAGTGCGCAGCCGCAGCTATCTCAGGCAACACAGGCGTATGGTACAAGAATACATAGCTTTGCCAAACATCATTCATTCACCGCCCATGTTGGTATCTGTAAAGAGGTAGTGGACCCTTGAGTGGCCTGCCCTGAGCACAGAAACACCCTAAAGCTTGGAGTAAGTCCTTAGTCACTGCTAACTAAGCATAATAAAATTTCTTTTTTAAAGATTCATTTTAATGAGAAAAAAAGAGAAAATAGCAATGAAACAGTTTTAAACCAGGTTAGTAGGGCAGTTACAATAATTAATACATTGCATATTGTTGTCTTTGTAGTTATTCAGAGGACAAGATGCAGACATGATATCTTGTCTAAACAATGTTAGTACAAACCTTTCTTCTCAATGAACTAAGAAAAAGTAGGTGTATATCTATTCTATCTTGTATATACATTTTTTTCACAGCAAAACGGTCCTTTCTTTATATTCCCTTTTTTGTTTTATTTTGTCAGAGATGGGTGTTCCATTGCAATTAGATAAGGATAACCACCAGGTATAAAAGGTAAAACTGTATTAATATACTGAGCTGTAAAAGGCTCAAGTCAACAAGTTCGGACAATTGCCAGTTGTGACGATAACTCACTACTATCATGGACTATTGGACTATATGGGGTTATTTTGCCCAGTTCAAATACCCACATTCTTTGTACTGGTATCAAGTATGAAAAGGTCCTTTAAAGACTTCTCCAAATAAAATTTCATAGAAACAAATTAAACAGGCTATCTTTTGTTTTCTTTACAACTTGTTTTTTAGAATATGCTAGCTGTGTTGCTTTTTTATCACTAGTGGAAACCACTTACTCCCACTACCATCTTCACCATACACTCAATATTTGTAACAGACAAAAGTAAAGCCTCAGGGCTGAGCGCCTACTCTTGTCTCTGCCTGTGCTCTCTAGCTTGGGCATCACAGCACAATGGGAAAAACACTCACCTCCACATGCAACCACAAGAGACCACCTGCTTTACAAACAGTAAATCCTGACTTGAAAATATTTATGTATGAATTAAGTAGTAATGACGACATATAGTGAGCCACAAATTTTAAAAAACTGATTAGAGTAAGAAACAGAAGGAACTTCACATCTCAGGGATCTAATCAAAGAGATGACCACTGAATGGCAGAGCTTCCCTGACTCCAAGGCAGTCCAATACCCATGATTTCAAGCACTCTGGAATTATACCAGAAAGTGCTGCGTGTGTGAGTGAAGCAAGTCCTCTCTGACTAGAAAACCTAGAGCACAAGTGGAATATTAGTGTTGCTCCAGCCTATTCGCACTCAGGGGAATCTGAGCCCTGGGGCTCCAGGTTGACTTAGAGTCATTCACTCATAAATCATCTCAATGCTATGATTATAGCAGCACAATCTGTGATAGCCAAATCTTGGAAACAACCAAGATGCCCATCACCTGAGGAATGGTTGAGAAAGATGTGGTATTTTTACACAATGGAGTATTATTCAGCTA